AAGAATTGGGGTTTGTGAACCTCTGCCTAGATTTCAGAGCGTGTATGTAAATGCCTAGATGTCCAGGCAGAAGTTTGCTACAGGGTTGGAGCACTCATGGAGTACCTCTGCTAGGGCAGGGTAGAAGAAAAATGTGGGGTTGGAACCCTGACACAGAATACCTACTTGGGGGAGCTGTGGAACTGTAAGAAGAGGGCCACTGTCCTCCAGACCCCAGAATGGTAGATCCACTGACAGCTTGCACCATGTGCCTGGAAAAGCTGCAGACACTAACACCAGCCAGTGAAGGCAGCCAGGAAAGAGACTGTACCTTGCAAAGCTGCCCAAGACCATGGGAACAGGGGTGGAGCTGCCCAAGACTATGGGAACCCACCTCTTGCATCAGCATGACCTAGATGTGAGACATGGAGTCAAAAGAGATCATTTTGGAGCTTTAAGATTTGACTGCCCTGCTGGATTTTGGACTTGCATGGGGCTTGTAACCCCTTTGTTTTGGCCAATTTCTCCCATTTGGAATGACTGTATTTACCCAAGGCTAACAGCAGAACAGGTGAAGCTGAGGAAATAATCTCAGAACTCAAAGACTGGCTGTTTGAAATAACTTAATCAGACAAAAATGAAGAAAAAAGAACTTAAAAAAATAGGCAAAACTTCTGAGAAATTGGGGTTATGTAAGGAGACCAAGTCTATGACTCACTGGCATCCCTGAAAGAGATGGGAGAAAGCAAGCACCTTGGAAAACATATTTCAGGATGTACTTTATGAAAACTTTGCCAACATTGTTAGAGGGAAACATTCAAACTCAGGAAATGCAGAGAACTACTGTGAGATAATACACATGAAGAACATTCCCAAGACACATAATAATCAGATTCTCCAAAGATGAAATGAAATAAAAAATGTTAAAGGCAATTATAGAGAAGGGGCAGGTCACATACAAAGGGAAATTCATTGCGCTAATAGTGAAACTTCCAGCAGGAAACCATACAAACCAGAAGAGAGGCCTCTATTCAGCACTCCTAAAGAAAAGAATTTCCAAACAAGAATGTCAGATCTGGCCAAATTAAGCTTGATTAGTGAAAAATAAAAACAAATTATTCTCAGACAAGCAAATGCATAAGGAATTTGTTACCACCAGACATGCCTTACAAGAGGTTCTGAAATGAGCACTAAATGTAGAGAGACTACTATAGCCACTACAAAAACACACTTGAGTACACAGACCAGTGACACTATAAAGGAACCACGCAAATGGAGCTGCTTAATAACCAACTCACAACACAATGACAGGATCAAATACACACAATTCAATGCTAACCTGGAATGTAAATGGGCTAAATGCCCCAATTAAAAGGCACAGAGTGGAATGTTGGATTAAAAAAAAACACAACAACAAAGAAAACAAAAAAACAAGATCCAATGTTATGCTGTCTTCAAGAGATCCATCTCATATGCAGTGATACCCAGAGAATCAAAGATATGGAGTAAAGTCTGCAAAGCAAACTGAAAACAATAAAAAGCAGGGGTTCTAATCCTAATTTAAGAAAAAAACAGACTTTAAACCAACAAAGATCAAAAAAGACAAAGAAGGGCATTGCATGACGGTAAAGGGTTCAATTCAACAAGATCTAACTATCCTAAATATATGTGCAGGGAACAATGATGCATCCAGATAAATAAAGTAAGTTTTTAGAGACCTGCAAAGAGACTTGGGTTCCCACATAATGATAGTGGGAAACTTCAACAACCCTCTGACAGTATTAGATAATCAAAACAGAACACTAACAAAGATATTCAGGACCTGAACTCAACACTTGACCAACTTGATCTAATAAATATCTACAGTATTCTCCAATACAAAACAACAGAACATACATTCCTATCATCATATGGCACAAAATCTAAAATAAAACCAACTGAACATACAACAATACTCAGCAATTCAACAAAACTGAAATCATGTCAATGCAATTTCAGATTTTCTCAACAATAAGAAAATTACACAAACCTTACAATTAATGAAAATTAAACAATCTGTTCTGAATGACTTTTGAGTAAATAAAGAAATTGAGGTAGAAATCAAGAAGATCTTTGAAATTAATTAGGAAAAAATACAACTTACAAAAATCTCTGGTATACGGCTAAGGCAGTGGCAAAAAGAGAAGTTTATTGCAATAAATGTCCACATCAGAAAGTTAGAAAGATGTCAAATTAACAACCTCACAGCTAGTGGAACTAGAAAAGCAAGAGCAAACCAACCCCAATGCTAGTAGAAGTAAAAAAATAACCATAATGAGAGCTGAAATGAGGGAAATTAATACACACAAAAATTTACAAAAGATTAACAAATCCAGGAGTTTATTTTTTGAAAGAATAAATAAGATAGACCAATAGCTAGACTAATAGATAGAAGATACAAATAAACACAATTAGAAATGAGAAAGAAGATGATACCACTGAACCCATAGAAAGACAAAAAACCCTCAGAGACTGCTATAAACATCTCTATGCACAGAAACTAGAAAACCTAGAAGAAATGAATAAATTCCTGGATACATGAAACCTCCCAAGATTGAACCAGGAAGAAACTAAATTCCTGAACAGATCAATAATGAGTTCCAAAATTGAATAAGTAATAAAAAATCTATTAGCCCAAAACAGTTCAGGACCAGATGGATTTACAGCTGAATTCTACCAGATGTATAAAGAAAAGATAATACCATTCCTATGGAAAATATTTCAAAAGTAAGAAACTTACTGGCCTTTGATACAGTTATGTTTATGTTAATATCTCTCTGTGTCCATTGCTTTGTTACAGGTGTTATTCCCTAGAGCACGCACCAACAAATCCTCCATACAAATCTATCAGAAACGATTTTTTTGGAAATAAAACCCACACATTTTTGTAAATGTTCTTTGCTCTTGGTTCTCTCAGAGGGGGTCATAAATTGAATTGTTATGGTTCTCCTTTTCTGGTTTCTTCTTACCAGAGCTTTGTATGGAGTTGTTGAAGCTTCCCACAAAAACAGAAGACTGTTTTTGTCTTCTGTTCATTTTGAAGTCCTGAATTAAGATTTCTATATAGGTAGAGTAATAGTTGAAGTTTTTGGGTGTCTTCTAAGATTTCTAGTTCATAGGTGCCCTCTTTATAATTGTTTTTAGCATAGTACAAAATTTAAGTGAGGAAGGGAGAATTAGAATACCTCTAGATTTGTCATACTTCTTTGTTTCCTCAGAACTTTAATTTCCTCTTTTTACTTCCTTACTTTCCTTTACCATGAAGTCACCCAAGAGTACCTTTCCTTGCTACTTAGTCCTCATCTCCCCCAGAAGTGATGCCCTTTGGAGAATACCATCATAGGTCCTGCATATTTTCCTTCTTCCTCTCTGCTCAACATCCTGCTTTATCAGACATCAGACCTCTCATTAATGATTTTGAAATTAATGTGACTTACAGTTTTGTGGGTGATTCAGGCTGTGCTCCATTTCCCTTGGGCTTCCTACCTCCGTCTCCTGTTCTCTACAGTCTCTTCAGGGTTCCCCCACCTTCCTCTCTGTTTGTAGCTGCAGAGATCTCTCTGCTGGGATTTGATGTTTATTTCTCTATTCAGAGGTAATTTGAAATTCATAGTATTCTCAGTGTCAGTTATGCTAAATGTCCTAGTTATGTGTGATATTATGTACTTGCTGTGTTGTATGTATTGAATGTTTTTTTGGAGAATGTGTAGAGGGATTCTGACTTCAGGAGCTGCCATTGTTATATAAAAGACATCTGAATATTGAGTGTCAAATATTTCTGTATTTAATTTAATTTTTTCCTCATAATAACACTTTTAAAATTATAGGTTCTAATTATTTGTTTCTGTATTATTTTTTAAGAAAGATTTTCCCCCCTCTGGACAAAATTTCTGTGTTGGGTTTGATAAGTGGATGTTATCTCATCTGAGTTCAATTGAAACCTTTAATAAGTTGATTAGCAATGGTCTTGTGCTGTTCTCATTAGGTATGTTTGCCATACACAAAGACTTAAGCTTTCCATTTCACTCTGGTGCCTTCCTAGAGCTGAGAATTTAAAATACATACTGATTAATCAGGAGCAAAGGAGTCTTGTTCATGCAACTTTATGTCTTTGTTTTTTAATAAGGGATTTGCTCTTTAATGTTACAGTGCTATTTTTTTTTGGCACCTAATTATCCTAAAGTATTTGTCCAGGAGAAACTTCTAAAAATATAGAATGCCCTGGAAAGATCGTGTGGAAGGGCTTTATTCTCTGGGGCATGATTCCTCAGTGAATTAATTTGGAACAAGCAACCTCGGGGACAAAGTGTTTGAACAGCTCAGTGAAATATTTTGCTGTTCATTGTTGATTAAGTCATTGCTTCTCTTACCGGGGAGAAGATTTCTTGTCAGCTGTTAATGTTACTGTCAAAATAGGAAATAAAAGCCAATACCAGACATAGGTGATGGGGGGATGAAGGCAGCAAACCACCTTGCCACGTATGTACCTATGCAACAATCCTGCATGATCTGCACACTTAGCGCAGAACCTAAAGTACAATTAAAAAAAAACTTTAAAAAAAGCCATTACCTTACCAGACATGAACAATACTAAAGAAGTAATATAAACATATGAGCCCTTTTAAAATACTCAAAACAAAGCCCAGTTTTTAGATTATTTTTGCGCACTATTGACTAAGAATGTTATAAAAAGTTCGTTCAATTAATGAGGTCAGTAAACATAATAATGGTGTTTTAAATTTCTTCAATTTTAATATATATATTCTCAATGACAACTTTCCAATTTGGTGATTCCTCAGTCATATCAACTGTTTATTCCTGAAATCAACTCTTGATAATCCCATAATCCAAATGAAAATGTTTATGAAATTTGAAGATGATCACGCTTTGTTCAGGCAAAAGGCAATAAATCCATCACTGTGTGACAAAGCATTTGCAGCTTCAGTGACCATATGCCTTCTTTTCTTTGCACTCGTGCCTGTATTTATAGGGTGTCAATCCTGACTTATCTTCATTGAACTAGGCAGTAATTTTCTAGGAACAAAGAAAAAAACTGCAGAAGCCTGGATTTGGAGCAAGTGACCAAGGAGGAAATAGAAAACCCAGGTAACAAATTTAAAAAGTTTTTCACTGCTGTTATGATAGGGGCAAAATAGACTTTATTTGAAAGAGTTATGTATCTTTCTTAAAAAGTAGGTTTTCTTATTTAATCTCAAGTGTCTTATGCCAGAACCTTCAAGAATAAAACAGCATACACATTTTTTTTTCATTTTGTGGAATATTATTAGTATAAATACAATGTTAATAATTTTCTCCAAATTTTTAATTAGAATTGTTTAATTATATATTGAAATAAAATGCATAGCACAACATAACAACATGACTATATTTAGTATTTACAGTAACTTCATTTAGATTGCTTTATATAATTTAGAGAATATAACAATTATTTATCTTGTATCTTAATACGTTGATAACAGTAAGGGTTACTATATTTATTTATTTATTTATTTTTACCTTGTATATAGTATTTTTAAATGTCCTGGTTCTGTGCTGAAGTTTTATTTGTGTTGATTTTTTTATTATGATAATATACACATAACACATTGCTATGCAATTATCATCACTGCCCATCTCCAAAATTTTCATCATTCTAAACTGAAATTCCATATTCATCAAACAATAATTTTTCCTCATCCCCTCCTCTTCACCCCTGGTAACCACTGTTGTACTTTCTATGCCTATGAATATGACTATTCTAGGTGCCTTATAATAGTGAGATTACACCATATTTGTCATTTTGTGTTTGGCTTAGCATGTCTTCAAGGTTCACCCACGTTGTAGCATTATCACAACTTCATTGCTTTTTAAGGTAGAATAATACCCCCTTGTCTGTATATACTATAATTTGTTTATTCATTCATTAATTGATGAGCATTTAAGTTGTTTCCATCTTTTGGCTATTGTGAATAATTCTGCCATGAACATCAGTGTACAAATATTTGTTTCGGTCTGTGATTTCTGTTCTTTCGTGCATAGCCCTCAAATAACATTCACATTACCATGTAAACATTCACCACCTGTCTTTCTCCATAGCTCATTCCCCTCTTTGACATTTGTTATTAAAACTAATTTAATCTGAGATGCCTCTTTGTAGATTAGGGGATCAACCGGGTCCATAGCAGGGTGTGTCCAGTTTTACTCACTACATTTTTAAAACCCTAAAAATAAGGACAAATTTATGTAGTTAACTCATAGGGAGGAACCGATGTTGGCATTTTCCCTAAGTCTCTGTAGATCTTGTACCTAATGACATTTATAACTCCTGTTTCCATGGACATTAAATTACCCTTTCTAATATGGTATATGCATAGGTCCATAAATTTACCCAGCACAGTAACTAGACTTTTCAGAACACGAGTTTTCATATTTTATAAAGATTGCTATTGTAGGCCGGGCGCGGTGGCTCAAGCCTGTAATCCCAGCACTTTGGGAGGCTGAGGCGGGTGGATCACGAGGTCAAGAGATCGAGACCATCCTGGTCAACATGGTGAAACCCCGTCTCTAC